CCCCCGGCTCTGCGGGGCCACGGGACCTGATCAGGAGCCACTGCTGCGGTGTCACCTGGCCCTGCTGTCACCCGGGAACCAGAGCGAGGGACACTTGGTCACCCAGGTGTCAGCTGCTGGGGGCAGTGCACGTGGGCTGTGGCTCTGGAGCTAGATGAGGTTGTCTCCTGCCCAGGATTTAGGCATTGCTCATTCAGAGGGACTCATCCAGAGTCGTCTGCAGGAGGAAGAGGGCAGGCATGGATGGGTTTCCTTGGCTGCTTCCTGGCTGAATTTGGCCATGGTGGTGTCCTGAAAACACCTGGGAGGGCAGAGCCGTGCCCATGTGGATGCAGGGTGGGAGCATCAGCACCCTGAGTCAGCAGGATGGGGACAAAGGTCCCAAAAGGCTCCTCCACAATGGGGTGAGCTGCCTGGGGCACTTTTTCTTATCATAAGGGAGGTGGGTGTGAACAGCACCACTGCCTTCCTCTGAAGCCACCCAAAGCAGCTGGGCACAGACCCAAGCATTCACCCATCACAACTCCTGGAAAACCAGAGGAGAGGTCTGCTGGCTGTCCGCCCATCAGGAGATGTTCCTCATTCTCTCCCCACCTTAATCAGCCTGCTGCTCTGGGGCTGGGGGCTGCCCGTCTGACCCCTGGGATCTTTATGGCGATGAAATATATTTGCACACCTTTTAGACCTACTGACATCCTTCCCTCCGGACCGCCTCAGGTTTTTATAGTAACCCCGGTGATGATTTTCAGGTAATAGACTAATAAAATATTTTAATTTGTTAGGAACATTAAGGTGGGCACTGTACAATTCTTATGACATTTAAGTAGTGATTAAAAATAATAATAAAAAAAAAAAGGGTTTCTGAGTGAATTTCTTTTCCAAACAGGAGCACTGAAATAGAATGTCAAAAATCCCACACGCTGGTACCCAGAACAGCTCTGACACCTCCTGCTCGTGCCTGTTTCACTTGAATACCTGCCAAGTTAAATAAGCAACCGTGTTTTTGTCAAGTGAGCCCTCCCCCTGAGTGGCTCCAGCAGTTTATGCTGCATCTCAGCCTGGATGTCTCCATGTGCCATTGCTCTCCATGGGCTGGCTCTGAACTAATGGGTGCTGAGCTGGCTAACTGTGTGGTTTTGCACCTCTGCCTTTCTCAGCTTGGCAACATTCGCCAATGTCCTTCCCCCCATCCCGTTGCCACTTCACTGTGCACTCTGATTGACCAACAGGACAAGAATGAGAGCAAGCCAGGGCTCTAGAGCATCCCACCATTTCCATGGCTTGCAACAAGCAGCGTGCCACCAGGGAGGCTGCTGCACCAGCCCCTTTCCTCTGGCTCTGCAGCAGTTGTGTGGTTTGGAGAGAACAAGGCTGCCCTGAGCAAAGCAGGGGCATTTGAGAGGACAGCTGCCCTTGCAGCAATGCGGGTGGAATTTTATTCTGGCTTTTTTCATGGATTTTCTGTGTGCCCTTGTGCTCTGTGCTTCCCTTCCTAACCTGTAAAAAAAGGGGCGATGCAACCCACTCGCTTCACAAAACTGCTGTGCAGGTAAAGGCTTGTACAACGAAGCAAGAAACATCATGGAAAAGCCTGCCAAGAAAGGGGAAAATAGGCAGGTGTTTAGCTCAGGGTTAGTTACACCTTGCACAAGAGACAGGGTGTTACACAACGAATATTATGTAGAAGAATAGCGAAGAAGTTCCTTTGTTCCGTGAGCGTTTCTGCCTTGTACCTCAGCTGAATCGTACAAGATTAATGGCAGGCGGTGATGTAAAGTCTGCACTACAAGGCAGAGGCAAGGCGTGTGAGCTGAGGCCTTGCCATTGTCATTACCTGACCTTGCACGCTCCCTTTTGCAACCTCAGCATTTTTTTCTCAATAGTATTTCTGGGTGGTTATTTTAAGAAAACTGTGTTAAGTTTCTTGCTTCCGTGCCAGGCACCTGCTGCTCGGCGAACGGGCCGTGACTAAGCACGGGCTGGAAATTAGAAGAATCTGCAAGTTCAAGCAACGAGATGCTGGGCCTGTCTTCCCTTAGGAGCACATTTAATAGTGCCGCTTGATTATGAAAAGATAAATCTGATGTGATTGATGCAACAGGGGATTGGGTTTGATGATCCTGGGAATCCCTTCCTCTCCACTCCTAATGAATTTATTTTCTAAGGGCGGGGGGATGGCAGAAAACAGCAAAACACATGGATGCCTGCTGATGCTGGGGTCTCCACCCCCAGATTTGTCTACTTCCCATCACAAGAAGAGGGAATAGATCTGTCTCCAAGGTCTGCCTGTCCTGAATGTGTCAAGTGGAGGTGGAAGTAGGGATCCCCCCGCTTCTCTCTTCATATTTTCCAGCTACCAAGAACATCCAAAATTCACTGTCCTTGAACCAGTACACCAAGTGTCTCAGCTCACAGGTTCCCTACATATTTCCCCTGTACTTACCTGTCTCCTGTCTCTTACCTGTCTCTTTTTATTTACTTATTTTTTGTGGATGTGTATCTCCTTGCTGAATATGACCAGGGATCACCTTTTAAGAGTGGGGAACTGAGGCACAGAGGGACTAGCTGAATTTCCTATGGTGACAGACTACAGATAGCATATAGAAGGGGCCTGCAGCCCAGTCCAAGACTGAAATCACTTCTTCTCCATGCACCTAAGTGGGGTCTGCCTTTCAGAACAGGAAGAGCAGAGCAGAAAGCGTTTTTCAACAGAAGTATTCACTGGTTTGGGATTTCCATCCTCTATCAAGTCAAAGGGCCTGAGCTTGGGATGCACAGTGCAAGGTTGTTTCAGAAGGGATGCAGAGGGTGAGCAGTAATGTTTGTGTTTTTTTTTTTCCCTCAAAGAGTTATAATTCTTTAATTGCTACTTACTAATAAGTGAAAATGCTGTGATTTCTGCAGGATCAAATGGTGCAGGATAAGCTGTTTATTAATTAGCATGCTTTTAAGGCTGGGAAAAAATAATAAAAGAAGCAACATGATTGTAGATGATAGCTATAAACATGACCCAAGCATTACCTGCCATGATATTTTAGCCAAGGGGAGGCTGTCGTGTTAGTGCTGGCCACGCGACTCTGACAGTGAATAAAAAATCTCCAAAATGCAGCTATTCACAGACATGTGCTACATCTCTCTGGGGCCTGATCCTGTGAATAACACCAGGTACAGCACTTGTGCATGTCAGTGCTCCTCTGGTTTCCCCAGGGATTGCTTGGGCAACTGAGTGCTAAGCCCAGTGGTAAGTGGTTGCAGGATCAGATTCATAGTCTGCCGAGCATTTGGGATGAAAAGAGCTATAAAGAAGTCACATATTATTATGTCACATTGCAAAGGTCAAGTCCTGTATTTGTTCTGTCATAAGGGCATGATTGAAAGGCAAAAAAATAGTGTCAGGGCACAGGGGGAAATCATTTTTTAAAAGCTGCCTTCGGGCCTGAGGATACAAAATTACATCAGAGCTTAGAACTGAATTCCCATCCACACCCTGCAATTCGGTTTTGGCTCAGAAAGGCATAAACGTAACAAAATCACCTTTTGGTGGCACGTCTTCGTAGCTGCTGACATAGCCCCTTGTAAAGCCGGCGAGACCTAAACTCACCCTCCCTTGTGATTTGGGCAGCAGTCAGAAACTGCCAGAGCCCTGCTCCGGCACAGGTCCAGGAGGGCTCTGCAAACACACCGAGCTGCTTTACACCCCATAGGCATTTGCTGGATCCCTGTTGCTGCTGGGGCAGGAGTGCAGCGGTGCTGGGAGGAGGCTGGGCACTGCGATAGCTGGTCCTCCATCACCTGGCCAGGAGCACACGCTGGGGGGTTGGAGCCTTTAGTTCTCCCTGCCCCCAGGAATTTGTCCAAGTCATGGCTACTTTGTGAATATTTATGTGCATCTCTTAAGGCTTGCTGGCACAGGGAAACTATTGAGAAATAAACTGGGGAGCCATCACTTTCTTGCCATAACCTGTTAGGGCGCATCAAGCTCTGCAGAGTGTTTTTGGGTGGATTAGCTCAATCCAAAACAGATTTAAGCAATAGCTCCGCAACTTTCAGGATCCACAGAACGCTTCTTTGTGCACAAGCAGCAAAACCACAATGGACAATCGAGTTCAGTATTTGCTCCTCTCATTAGCTCCTGCAGCTGACCTCCAGCATGCTGCCAGCAGCAGCCTCTGGGATGCAGCGAGTGTTGGGGACCCACCGTGCTGCATCCCACCTCGCTGCATCCCGAGGCTCCAGCATCCAGCACACAACACTGGGACCAGGGCTCGCCTCTGTGGGAGAGTAAAGAGGATTCACCAGCCCTCAGCTGGCTTGCATGGCTCCCATCAGCCACCACCTTGGCAAAACTGAGCTTTTTTGCATTGCTGGAGCATCAAACCCACGCTGATCTCCCCGTGCTGCTGCACCAAGGAGGGAGGGGAGCAGCAGTGGGGCTCTCAGTCTGCTCACTGGCAGCTGCAGGCACCCGGCTGCTCAAACAGAGGGGCTGTGCCTAGACTAGCAAACAAAAGCCATGAGGGTTGGCATGTGATGGTCCAACTGTTTAAATGGCCAGCGTTAGGACCCCACCAATTCAACAGCATCCAAGCAACTGCTGAGAGGACAACACAAAGCAGGAATGGTCCCTGGTAGGCAGAGCAAACGCCGCCCTGCTTGGAGGTGGCAGAGGTTTGCATGGAGATAAACCACGCTGAGCACGCTGCCATCAGAACCAGAGGATGTCCCACACCGTTTGCTAGTGCAGACACAGCCTGAATGCCCATGGAGGAGGACTGCACTGAGGAACTTTTGCATTCATCCCGTTACCTCTCCATACAAGCCCCAGGGAGCTGCTGGAGTAGAGAAGCACGGACATTTCCCACCGCACACGAGAGCCCCTCGGCTGCCACACGCACTAGACCCGACCTAGTCCCGAAGCCGCTCGGCCCCACGGGTGTTTCCACGGCCAAGAAGCACCAGTCCCCCGCCTCCAGCTGCCCCAGGGGTCGGGATCCACTCACTGTTGCAGCTGCCGGCGGTGCCAGTCTCTGTCGCTGCCACGCTGCGCTGAACTGGCCCTTCGGACGCGGCCCTTCCTGACAGTGAATGGGCGAAAACAAGGGAAGGAGACAAACAAAAGAGAAGGGGAGGGTGAGAGAGGGAGGGAGGGATGGGGGGGGATGAAGCAAGGGGACAAGAAGGGAAAGGGTATGTCTTTAACCGAACCGTACGTCTCGCACTGCCTGCAGCACCCCAGCTCTGCGCAGCCCTCACCAGGGGGGACACGGGGCAGACGAGCCCCCAGCCCTGGTGGCTGTCACCTGGCACCCCAAAACATCACCTGCACCAGTGCAGAGGGAGGGCAAGGGGCAAGCACTGGTGCTGGGCAAAAGCCAAATGGGGCTCCGGGCTCTTCAGACTTCTCCTTGGCCAGAGAAGCCCCATCTCTTGGCGACCCTGAGCCCCTCTCTGGACAGCCTGAAGGAATTTTAGGGGTCCTGAGAGGTTGCTGTGGATCTAGTAGCTAAGCTTCCAGCTCCTGATCCATTGCCAGCCCTCCTGGGCATGACGCAAGGACCCATCTGTCTCTGCCAGCAGAACAAGACCCAGACCTGATGTCTGTACTCAACCAAGTTCAGGGGTAGCCAGAGAGAAAGGGCATCTTTGGCCAAATGTCCCAGTGAAGCACCTGGTCCATCAGCCTGCTTTTCCCCCAAAGTCTTTGTCCCATCACTGCTGTTGCAGGTGCTCGCAAAGCTGAACCCTAGGAAGGGATAAGGGAATTGGAAAATACGATGCTACAATTTCCAGTGCATCGAGGCAGGAAAGGTTTGGGGAATGGAAGGGAGGAGAAAGGGCAAGGATCTCAGCGTGCAAATTAAAAGTAAACGATTAGCAAAAAGTCTGCTGGCTCTTTAGTAAGGTCTTTGTGTTCCCACCAGGACAAAAAGGAGGCAAAATCCCAAGACGAAAGGGCAGTTGGTGAGAGTGGTGGTTTGGGGGCAGGCTTCTGGCTGTGGTCCTTAGGAGCTCAGGCTGACAGCTGCCCAGGGAAAACCCAAAATACGGGCTTAGGGTGTGTCTGGCTAGTCATCACCCCGGGGCGCCTTCCCACCCTGCTCCAGAGGTGAAAACTGAGCTGTTAAATGTAGCTGACAGCTCATTCTGCTTGGGGAATTGCTCTGAGAATGACTGACTCGCCTCCCTTCCCAAAAAGTTGAGGTAGGAAATGGGTGGGGGAAAGGTTTAGAAAATTGTTTCATGATGGTTGTTTAAATTGCCTCTGCGTTACAGGGTTACAGTTGGGGAAAAAGAAAGAGAAATATCTATCACATAAATCCGCATCCTAAAGCCAGCTGTGGCAGAGGTATGGACATTGGAAGGAAGCAGAGCAGATGAAGTCATCAGCAGTGGAAAAAAAACATCAATATAATATAGTGCAGAACAAAGCAAATTCTACCTCAAACGCAGAGCTGAAAGAGAAACATCTTCTCCTGTCAGATCTATTACCATGCATTTATTCCAATAACAAATAACTAACCCAGAGAGTAACCCAAACCTGATTTATTCCTCCATCTAAGTAAATATGAAGAGGCAGCTGAATCTGACTCCAAAAACCACTGATCTCATATGTTTTTCTTGTATGTATTAGAAAAATTAGGAGTGGAGTTTCTGCCTTACTGCCAGGGGATGCTGGCAAAGCATCTGAGCTATAGATATTGTATCTTGTCACTAATGACTGCAGGGAACTAAAAGGGATTTGGATTTTTTTAATGCTTCACATTAATTGATAATTTGGTCTCTGAATCCACAGTGGAACACAGGATTTACTATATTGGATCAGTCTGGTGGCCCATCAAATCTGGCGTCTTGCCTTGGTGATGCTCAGAAAAATTATCTGCCAGCATCTTTGCTTGCAAGGTGGCTGGCCATTTCTGTAAGGCCATACAGCTGAAACAGAGGAAAGGTCCTTCTGGTCTCTCTAAGACACTGAAACATGGTTTTGGCTAGGCTTATAATCATCCCTGCATCTTTTCTTTTTTAATGCAAGGAAAAAGCTCTGTGACTACAAACATTTCCAAGAGACGTGCCGCTGTTTTTCCTCTTGGTCACCGCAGCTCAAAGAACAAGAAGGTGAACCTGTGTTTTCAGAGGGTAAATGAAAACACAACCAGGGCTGGGAGGGGGGCGAGATGCCTTGTACTGAGCAGAATGATATTGATTAGGCAGTATAAAGATTTCACTCACTAATTCCTTTAGCAATCTTATCGTGTGTTGCCCACATAATTGGATGGGGAAGAGAGAGGTGGAATCACTTAAGCGTTCAAAGCTCAACACGCACCAAGAAAAGATTCCTATTTTGTGTGTGTGTGCAATTTTGTGCATCGTTGCCCCTTGATTGTACATTGAACATGCTCTCTTTGACAGCCCAGTCCTAAACAGCCTGTTTATTAAAGACAGCTGCTTGCAAACAGGGGCTTTCTCCATCCAGCTGGCGTGGAGAAGGAGCTCTCTGTGGCTGCAAGAGAGGCAGGACTATGAAACAGGGGGGAAATCAGGAAAGGAAAGCCCATGGGAGTTCTGGCCATGCAGGAATCAGGAGGGAAACAAAATATGTTTTCTTTCCACGTAAATATCTTAATTAAGGATTGTGATGAAGAAATTTGCTTCTTATTTTTTCTAGGGAGGTCTTCAGTTTGTCTGGAAGCAAGGCCTGTTGCATGGGGGACGTTTTCAAGTTTCACTTGAAAAACCACTAAAAGTCACACAACACATCAGGAAAAGGGAATAAATAAAAAAACAACCCAAGTCATTTTATCCATGCTTCCCCTAAACTGGCTATAACACCTCTGACTTGGGTTCTCTCACTGCTCACCCCAGGGCTGGGGCTGCTCCCCACCTTTCCTGGCTGATCTCGTGGCTGTCCCCCAGTAAGGACACCTGAGAGTGGGGTGCTGTGGGTGGGAAGGCAGGAGAAGGCCTCTGACAACTGGGGGGCAGTGGGGAAATGGGTCCAACAACCTACAGAAGGTGAGAGTTTGGCACATCCAAGTCTCCCCTAAGTGGTGATGCTTCTTCCAAAATATGGGTGATTTTTTGGTATGCTCAGAAACACACACATTGCTTGTGGCGTACCTGGGGCTGGAATAACGCAGCTTGCTGGCATATGGTTCTCTACCTTCTTCTGCTCTAGCTACACTTTTAATCAGGCCACCTTGGTAAAAAACAGGAATCATGATCTCCTGCAGCCTGCTCCATACACAACCTTTCCTTGTTTTGGCACAACGGAGCACGTCCTGGCTGGATCTCCATCATGGGGAGAGTCTCTGGCTTAAGCTAGGCACTGTGCTCCTTTCCATGCCTCTCAAAGTTTTCAGGCTAATGGGGTGTTTGGAGCAGGGACTTCAGGAGGAATGGAGGACATTACAAGCAAGCAGCTTCTTGCAGGTGGATATTCACTCTTGGATGGGTCTGCTACTCAAGAAAAGACTGCTCAAGGATGGGTGGGGTTCACAAGTCGCTTCCTCTGCCTCTGTGGATCTGTTTGCTGTGTTTGCTTACCTCTAACAGATTATTTTTTATCCACAAATCTGTTCAACCACTTTTTTAGCCCATCCTAACTGTTGGCACCTACCACCTCCTGGGACAAGGAGTCCCAGCACCTTACTACCCACTGTAGCACCTCCATTTGATCTCAACCTGCCATGAACATCACCAGCTGCCTGAGATCAGGACATATTGTCCACTGTTGTGATCCCAGCAAACGGGAGGCCAGGTGTTAAAAACCGTCAAGAAGTCAAACTGCAAAGCTTCAAACTTCCCCTGCACTCTGGAGTTCAGGTCTGGTGGTTAGGAGAAAGCACACACCTCAATTCACACCTCTGAGAACTGGACTGAGCTTTGAGTTAAAGATCATAAGCTTGATTAGCTCTTGGTGAGCGTGCGAGGGTTTGGGGGGGCACATGGAGGGGTTAAGTGTGAAAGTCAGCGTTAGAGACAATATTAAATAAAATATATGAGCCAAACGACTTGCAGTGCAGCAGCAGCAACATATCCCAGGCAGCAGCAACAGTGAACATGGAGGTCAAGTACCGTAGCAGGGAGTTTTCATTTCCCCAAAACAAACTGCTCTTTTGTGTCTCGGCTTCAAAGAAGATGTCACTAGATTGCGAGAGCTCTTCACCTGCCACATCCCTCTCATTACTGAAATGAAATAAATGGCAACAGCATGAAAACAGCAACTCAAGCAAGAGAAAGACAGGTCGACAGTGAGGAGAAGGGAGGGGGGACAAGGTGCGAGCGGAGGGCTTGGCAGGGTGGAGAATTAGGGCAATTACCATTTCTGAGAAAATGCCAGAAATACAACACAACCTAATTTCCCCAATTAATTCCTCTGCACTTGAGCTGCTTTGTGTGAAGGGCTCTTAATGTTTCAAACAGGAAGAAGGGGGAAAAATAAAGACTCTTCAACATTTGTTTTTTTCCCTCAGTGCAGAAATGAGCAAGACTTGAGAAAAAAATGTCTGTCTGAAACACAAGATGATGCTGTTACATCTTCCTTCCAGGAGATAAGGAGCTGTGCCATGAATTCAATTTGCAGAGGGTTTTATAGGAGCCACAGAGATATCAGAGAGCAGCACATTCAGTATCACACCGACTTTTCCTGCACGCACAGCACACCAGGACGAGCACAAAGACACTTACCCCATGTACCCACAGCGGAGCAGTTCCCTCACCTCCCCTCTTTCAAGCCTTACTACCACTTGGGTGAAATTTGCCCTTTTGGCCCCAAACCACCAGTTGGGGCAGCTGTGAGGCACCACACTGTGAGCCACCCGCACCTCATGGGTCATACAGGGGGTGACGGCCATGAAAACAAGCAAAAAAAATAAAAAATCGGGTTGGGGTGAGGGAACACATGGGCAAACAGAGGTTGAAAAGGGCATGTAATGTTTTCAACGGCATATGAAGAATCCCACACATAGAAAACTATGGCTCTGCCTGGCTGGCCCATCTGTATCTGCACCAGGGGTCTCCAGGGAACATCTCCAGTTCACTCTGAGATTTCCCTGCCCCTATTTAGGCATGACAAAGC